TTTTTTTTTTTTTTGCAATTTGCAAAGTATGTTCTAGAGATGCTTTAAAACAACGGTCGATAACGATATTTTTTTAATATTCGAATACCTCGAATCGTTTATTTTCCGTCGAAATATTTATTCGAAACTATTTATTCAGAAGATTGCAAAATCACTTTGCATTTGACAATAAAGTGTATTCTAGGAGAAAGATGTTTTAAAGCAATCGATAAAAACTCAGCTATATTCGAGACATTTTCGAGTCCCGCTTGTTTTGATTGCAGGATTCATCGCGTTCCATCGCGTCGATACGATGCATCTCACAGAAGCGCATACTAATCCACAATTGACAAAGAATACATCAAATCAAACGGGACCAAAACGGGGTTCGTGTCACGGCTAAAAATACCAAGAAAGAAAAACATTTGATCGAAAGAATAATGTAAAATAATGTGTGTTGAACCTTCAATATTTTTCGTTTCGATCTAATAAACATTTAATTTACACGCGCTCATAAATTTTATTTTTTCAAATAAAATAAATAGAAATAAATACTTATGTTTAGTATCCGCTCAGACAAAATTTTTACGTCAAATTTTATCATTTTGGAATTTTTTTGGGTCATTGAAACCGAAAACCATGACATTTTTCGTGGAAATTAATGATTTTTAAATAAATAAAAAATAGTTGAAAAATTTTCAAAATAAATCGATTCTCCGCGAGAATATATTATTACAGTTGATATAAATCCTTAGTCGATAAATGCGTCTGAATAATTCGTTAGTTCCTAATGTTTATAATTTAGTTTAATCATTGTTAATTCGACTAAGAGTTATTTTATTTTTTAAATTGTTTTCATCAGCTTATATTGGAATTCAAAACATTTTAAAAATGAAATGATTATTATTTAATTCAGCGACCCAAAAAAATTTGAATCAAAATTTAGCTTGAACAATACTATAATATATCCAAAAAAATTTTTATCCCTTCATTGTGAATAAAATGGAAATTATAAGAAATAATATTTCAATTATATTTTATTTAGTTAAACTTCAATTTATACAAAATTTGTTATTTTGTATTTACTATTTTGTAAAGTAGAATCTAAAAATATATTTAGATGGATAAGATAAAATAAAATTAAAAATTTATGGAATAATAAATTAATTATTTAAAGTTTAATAAATTATAATTGATCGTAAATTTTGGAAGATTATTTTTATTGCAACAATCTAAATCCAATTAAGAATTCGTATTTTCAATTACATTCAAAAAAGAAATTATCAATCATTCGACAAAACAAAGAAAAAAGCATAAAATATTATTTTCATTCGTTATGATTAGTTATCGACCGAAGTATTTAAGTACATTATAGTATTTACATTCACGTATTCATTACAGATATCTTTAACCTATCCCTTACTTTAGTTTGAAGAAAGGGAATAAAGGGAAGATTGCTCGATGAAAAGCAATTTCATCTCGTTGCGTTAGAAATACGCGATTTATTTACATTAAACAGTAAAAAAATTTTTTTTCTTTTTTTTCCTTTTCACAATTAAAACAAAATATATAAATATATTTGTGAATAAAGTATAATCTTATATTGGATTGATTTTTATGATAAAAATTGACTTTTTAATAATTAAATTAATTGATTTAATTTTAATCATTGTAAATATACAATTTAATTTTTTAATAATTTAATTGGATCGTAAAAATAAAAAAAATATAGAAAATTTAAAAAATATTTTAGTATTTTTATATAAATTAATATTTTCTGAATTAACTATTATGATCTAAAAATATTTATAATCATTTGTTAAGCAATAATTTCTGTCTAATTTTCAATCTATATTGATGATAATACATAAACCATAAATGATTTCATTTAACTAGTTCCATTCTACGAAGCGTATTGACGGATATTGTCTGTCTGCGGTTTATATACTGTTTTTGCATACTCTTTCTTGCGTATTCGAACTCTACAAACATAACCTGTTGCGAAAATCCATATACTACACATACTAATGTCTTTCTATACAAACGCAAGCTGACAAACAAATTTGACCTATAATATAATCAACTAGTAAAAACAGAACATTGTTTTGAATGTAAAATGGAGTTAAAGAACGTTTTCGAATAAGGAAAATATATATATAGATATAATCTTGTATAGATGTACTTCAAATAAATATGCATATTTTCTATTGATTAAATAAAATTCTTATTAATATCAAAAAAAAAAGTTAAATACAAATGTGATAAAAATAAGAAGATATGTATCTGATCACTGAAATCATGATTGATATTTACAGTCAATAAGTTTAAAAATATTAAAAATTTGTAATTAAATTTGTTTCACATATTCAACAAAAGGTGAAAAGAAAGAGACATATATACTGCGTCATACAAATAATTAACAATACACTAGAACAAATTTTACATAAAATACCAACATAATTTTTAAAAATTCACAAGACCGTATTTTCTATTTACAATTGTTTAATATATCATTTCCAAAAATTCAATCCGATAAAATTTACTATCAATTTCGATAAAATTTTATATTCGATAAAATTTATTATATATGATTTAATGGATGATTTTTAACGTTCGTTTATCTATATTTGAGAACAAACAAATAGATTTAAAAAAAAGCCGGTATAGGAAGGCAAACAGCGAAGCAACTAAACCCTAAATTCTTCTGATAATTACTCAAGAAACAAATAAAAACATGAGAAAAATATATTTACATGACCACATACCTGATTTTTCTCAAGCTTCAGCTTTTGTAGAGAAATAATTCAACGAACGAACGGTGCCGATGTTTCACGCCATGGATTTCCTCTGCAAGATGCTTCACTCACGAGCCGTGTGACACAGGAAAAAAGATATCACCTCTTTCTCTTCTTCTGTTTAAGCCAATTTTCCAGACAACTGGCCTCACTATTGAGATCGTTACATTTTCGCGTGCAAGACGATTCTGTATCTAGGATTTTTCGATGCGGCGTCTCTGCTACTTGTAGAAGTGGTACGTGGCGACCCGGCCGGACGCGAACGAGATCCACTTCTTTCTTTCTTCTTTTTTTTTCTTTCTCGCTAGAGACACGCACACTCCAGTACGAAAGCTCGTTGACGAGTAAAAGCCCAACCGCGGCTTTGATGATCAAGCCAGGATACACCTTTCGAAAGCACCGCGCAAGCTCAGACTGTTCGTGCGGAATCTGGTCCCCATAGTCGTGTTAAGGGTCGTGTTTCCTCGGCTATGTTCGGCCACCAATGGTAAACTCGACCTGCAACGCGTTTCGCATGAATAGGACAGACTTGTGCTTTGTTATGATTACACATTGACGCAAAGAAAAAGAAAAATGTTACGGGAATGTTACCTTTAGAAATTCTCAAGAAATCTATAATAAGAATATGATATTAATGGTATTGCAATCGTATTATCCTGAAAATTGTATTTTGACAAAATTGCTATGTTTTAATTTGTAAATAGAATTTATGAATAATATGTAATGCGGCCTATTAAATATAAATGTTCATTTACGTTTGAATTATGAATATTAATTTAGTATATTTGATATCATGTGATATATAATTTAATTAAGTACAATGATTCGATAACAAATCAAGTTAAATTTATATATTTGAAACAATGATAGAAAAGATATTTTAAGATTTTTTACAAAAATGTCGAATATGAAGGTTAAATTTTAATAATATGATAGTTTCATATAAAATCTAATTTATTCTTATTTAAAAAATGAAAAATATGAATGACAAAAGTTATAATTATTAATTATTAAATAAAGTAAATAAAGATTGAATTATTATAAATTAGAAATTTATTAATTTATTTATATTATATTTCTGAAGTAAATTGAAATTTTTTTAATATCAGCATTAGAGTATGTATGTTTCGATAAAATATTTCGATATTATTAATAGCATCTTTCGAGTATCGATATAATATAGAATTACGATATATCGATTGCTTCACAATCAAATACAGTTATCGATACTGTATATTTAATCTATTAAAATACATAAAGTTAATTGGGAATGTAAAAATTGATGTGCATATTATTATATAATAAAATATATTTGAAATAAAATTCTTTTTTTCTATATTGTCAAATATGGACGAAATCGATAATCCTCCAACTGTAGTAAGCAATAAAACTTAGTAATATGTTAATTTATACTTAACCTATATTCTCTTTAATATTATTTAATTTTTATTATTTTCAAAAATAAAATCATATCATAAATTTATAAACAATATTTTTTGTAAAAGAGAGATAATATTTTTATAATTCTATTTTGTATTCTGATTATTATACAAATATATTTAAATTAAATTATATCATTTCATTCATGATATAGTTTCTTAATTAAATAATAAATAAATATAATAATTTATATTATATTTTTAAAAATATACTAAGAAAAATATTTTTTGTTTCTAGGATATTCCAAATATTTCTAAAGATCATCTTATTGCTGGAAGATGGATAAATAGTAATAGAATCAGTATATATACTACTAAAGTTACAAAAGAAAAAAGTTCAAAGAAATATGACTCAACAGTACATATGTTAAAACCAGAAGTAATTTTATTTTCACCACAGTTACGTAAACTAGTAAATGAAAGTAATGGTGTCTTTTTGTCCATTAAAAAACTTAAATCTTTTTCTGGGGATATTAGACTTGAACTTTTAAAACACAGTAAACAATATAGATCTATCTTAAGAGCATGTATAGAAAGTTTGCAAGATATATGTGGAAAATGTCTTTCTGAAAAAAGAGAATCACTAGAAAATTTCTTGACCATTTTTTATCAAATAGAATGTGTATGGCACTTAGTGGAAATTCTTTACGTAGATGTTATACCAGGTAAATTATATTAAAAATAAAAAAATATATAACATATTTATATCAAAAAATTCTAATATATAATATTTTAAATTTAGGTGATGTAGTATTACCACAATTGTTAGAATGGATTAAATTTCATTTTCCATCTAGAGAACTTATAGCAGTTAAAATATTAGCTCAAAAAACTATTGGTGCTGATTTGGAATATCCAAATTATTGGGAAATTGTAATAGGTTGTGCATTACATGGAAAATTAGATTTAGTAAGAGCTTTATTAGCATTACATAGTAAAGCAGATCATCCTGCTTTTGTAATGGCAGAAAATGCTCTTAAAACTATGCCTGTATATAATGTATATGGTGGTTATTCTATAAATGAATTTACTTTGTGTTGGAAACATTGGCAATTAGATTTATGTTCAAATTTAAATAGTAAAGCTTTTGTTATTGATACTAATTTAGAAATGATTATGAAGGTATTTATAATAATATATAATATTAAGATATATTTAAAAATAAAAATGTATATTTAAAAATAAAACTCTCAATAGTTATTCTCATTTATAAGTATAATAAAATAATAAATTTAAAAAAAATAAAATAATAAATTTAATAAAATTATTAAAAACATTTAATATAGTTAATTGCAGGAGAACAAGATATATTGTGGCAATTTTCACAATATACAGATGCTTGGTACGAATTATTGGCAGCAAAATTATTTTATACTTCTCCATGTTGTAAACAACCTGAACTTTCTCATCATGCTAATAATATTTCTAAAAGATGGCAAGCTAATAGACCTTCTGATAATGCTATACGTGCTTTGATGGAAAGTAATTTACATCTTGTTATTAAAGAAATACAATATATGGGGGATAATGGATGGTTTGCTGCTCATTTGGTAGATTTATTATACATTTGTGGAAAACTTAAAATATTAGATGAAGATCAAATAGAGTAAGTTATTATATAATTTATATTATATTTAACAAATCTTGATAAAATAACTTTTATTTTTTAAGAGTCAGTAATCAGCTTCATGAATCTCTTATATTGGAATATGGTAACACATTAATGGGACATCATTCTTTGTGGCAATGTGGTGCAAGTTATTTGATACATTGTCCTACTCAAGGCTTAGCTAGACTAGAGATATTGTTACAATCATTACCAATGGGATCAGAAGCAAGAGTAAATAAAATTCTAGATATAGCACGAGATAATAAAATGAATCATATAGGTTAGTATTATTTTTTAAAATATTATTTAATGTAATGTAAAATATGTATATATTTAAAAAAAATTTTTTTTTTAGTTACTAGTATTTGTAAAATTCAAGGATTAAAATCTATGAAGCAAGGAAGATTAGGAAATGCACTTGCATGGGCTTTAAAAGCTCAAGATAGTATTTTTATAACATACATTGCAGATCAGTTTTTGAAACGTTATGTAGAATATGGAAAATTGGATTGCCGTGATTTATTAGAAAATTTAGGTTTTTGTATGATGGCTAGTGATAGACTAACATTTTTAGGTAAATCAATTTTAAAACATTAAAATTTTTAAGAATATCTAATATCAATTATAACTTTTATTTTATTTTTTTATAATTAGGAAAATATTGCGAATTTCATCAAATGTATGGTATTGGAGAATTTAAAGAAGCAGCAAGTTTATTAGTGTCTCTTTTGGTTTCAAATTTAACACCGAAATAGTAAGTTTTAAATATAAATAAATTTTAAATTTAAATTAAAAATTAAAATTATATTTGAGAATATTTATTTCAGTTTTTGGTCAATACTTTTATCAGATGCTATTCCATTATTGGAAGCCAAAGATGTAATTTTGTCTTCCAATGATTGTTATGAATTATTACGATGTGTAGAAGCGCATGGCGATGATCCGAAATTTCAAAATGAAATTGATATCTTCCGATTAGCTGTTGCTAGAAATCTAGCTCGAGCATTGAGTCTTGAAGGCTGTCAAATGAAACATTAAAATGTTTATTATCAATTTATAATGTAAGAATTTTCTAATTTTTTAATTAAAAAATCTTTATCTATAATTTTAGTATATTCATTAAAGTAGACATACATATATTTCTTTTATGTATATATATTGATAAAAAATTTTAATTATATATATTTTATTATCATCAATATTTCAAATTATATATATATTCAAGTATAAAAATCTTGAATACTTGACAATTGATATGCACATAAAAATTTATTGGTTATAATGCATATGATATTGAAACTAAGGTCTATTTAAAGTCTATAATTATTATATAATTAAGATCTATTTGTAATTAATAATTAAAATTTTTGTATTAAAATTAAATAAAGAAAAATTAACTTTTGAATTTTTTAAGATAAATGTAACATTAAATAATATTTATATATTATATATAATATATTATA